GGAGTAACCAGACACTTAGGAGCCAGCTTGAAATTCCTATGGATAGCATATATACTGATGGGATATCTCATAGTTTCTTCAGAAACAATAGATAGCTTGCAGCATCAGGGTTTTGGATTTTTACTTGTTGTGAACAAGCCTCAGCTTAGCATGACTTTTCCAGAACTTATTATAGTCTTTTAACAGACTTAAAGCAATTATTGGAATGTTCATAACCTTTGGGGTGGGGGGAGGACTTCCACCAGTCATCCTGGGAAAAGTATGACAGCGCTTGTGGTCAGGGCTCCAACTGGCTGGATGCTGTGATGAACCCCTTTACAATTGTTCAAATGTTGTTCATACCCCCTCTGACTCAGTCTCTTTGCCTCAGCATTCCCTAACCCGACAACCGAGTTTTAACCAATCAAATTTAAATAGGCCTCCCATAGTGGGACCGGGGAATGTATGGCCCAAGAAGCCTATTAAACTTAGAGGTGTGTGTGTGGGGGAGAAGTCCTTTGTAAATCCAGATTAGAACTGGTTTGATAAGTGCTGAGCTTGGTGTGTGTAGACATGGGTTGATTAGCATTTGGAGCACAGATTCCCCATCATTCAGTGCTCCCCTGCTTCTCTGATCCCAGAATTCACTGTAGTCTTTGCTTCAGGCTTTCTGTTCTCCATCTCCCATGTAAATGAGTTGTCATCTGGTTCCATCTCAGATGCAAATGAGACCTAGGCAGTTGTTTCACTCTTGTCACCCTTATCTGAAGGGTTTTAGGTGTGTCTCCCACTGCATAAGGGGCAGGGGGGAGGGAATTCTTTGTGAGTCAGACAGACTGCATCCTGTGCCAGGGTTCCCAAAGAACATGGAGCTGAGAGGTAACATTACCATGAATATTTATTATTGCTCAAAAGTCAATGTCAGTGCAATCTGTTTATAGCTGCTTTCCTCAAACAATCAAATGGTCAAGCTTTACATATTTATGAAAGCTAAATTAGTCTTGGAATATTGAAAACATTGTATATGTGTGTATTAGTTATCCAGTCTGGGATCAAACATAATTTCACATAACTTTGGTAACTAACCAACCACAGGGTTAAGTAAACATCTGATTTACACTCATTTCACAAATAATTATTCTGCTGCATGTTTTGGGGCAATAACAAGAACACAATTAAGTGAACTGGGTTCGTTAACTTTAATAAAATATTTGAAGTTGAAAAATGAATTCTGAATCTGCTGTGCATTCTCTGTATACCTAGCTAAAAATTTTCCGATCTCACATATGACTTTTATTACTATTTTAAACATTTCATGAAAATCACCTGACTTCAACCTTCCCACAAGTCCATCTAATATGAAGGAATAGACATTTTCTTTGAGCAGATCAAAACTGCTTTTTTTTCAAAGGGTGCATCTGTACAAATGTTATAAATGCTCATTTCTGCATCACCACAGCTAGTGTACTGTTGTTTATGAAGCATTATCAACCAGCCAGACCAGGGGTCCATTCTATAAGGCTAGAAGGAAAATCCAAGTCTGAAGAGCACCATGTTTCTGGTGCAGTGCAAGGAGAATTCTTCCAAATCATTGCTGTGTCCAGTGCATCTCCCATTTGTGGAACTTCTGGTTATAATATAACATCCATCTCTCTTCTTTGACTTTTGCCTACAGAATAAGGGAGAGACTCATTTGGAGGCTGATTATTTTCAGCTTATTTTCTCAGAAGGGCACAAGAGTTCTATAACAAGAGCTTTCAGCTAAAAACAAACAGGGTAGAGGGTTTGTTTTAATACTCTGTGCACGGAGCCTGAGCAACTCAGCTATAGGACTATGGGTTCAGAAATATGGTGGACCATCAGTCATGACTTGAATATAGGTATTCAGAGAGGAAGAAATCAAGAGAAACGTACTGGAGTAGCACTGAACATTAATGATGTGTTAGATTGCAAAGAGATAACATTGCATAAAAATACTTTTGGAATGGATGGTGAAAGAGATTCTGTTGTAATGATGTTCTGAGTTTGCTGAAAAGTCATGTGATCAGATTTGGAAATGGCTAGTGGTCACTTTAATGATATAAAAAAATTAATCTGATCACATGACTTTTCAGCAAACTCAGAACATCATAATACTGGAAATTGTCATCATGGGCACTTAATTTCCCAGGAAAAGGTTGCAGAACAAATGCTACTAAATTTTCGTAAGTAGGATTATGTTTGAGGTAACTAAATTAGGACATTAGAAAAGAGCCATTTATAGAAAATTGTCATCTCAGGTGATAACAAATTGTTTTCTAGTCAGGAAACAGGAGGTTGTTTTTACTGAGGTGGTATTCTAGCATCCTTCAGGAGGGAGTGACATGGTAAAGAACATGGAGCATGTTATTTGTGAACAGACAGAGGCAACAGAGATTATCTAGAGTCAGTTTCTTTCAGACCTCTTCTGTATGTTCTTTCATTGCAGGCACTACCACAGTAAATCTGGCCATGGTATAATGGATACTTGGTATGACAGCCCTGTGCCTAATTACTCCCCTAATAACAGAATTATGACCAAGGAGCACAGGAAAAGCTTCCAGACTGGTGAGTGTGTTTAAGTTTTCTGTGTGATTTTGCTATTGTATTATGAGACTTTCTAATTCTACTCCAGATACCTGGGAAAGTTTATATATGAATTTGAATATTAGCCCTTAACACTACGGTTATACATTCAGATTTTAAAGTTTTGGGTAAAGTAGTATGAAAACATAACTGTTTGAGTCCATCTCTAGCTGCTGTACTTCCTTATAGGGTTCTACAATGGGGTGCTGCACATCAGTTTCCCTGATGCTTTCAGTCAGCATCATATTTGCCATGTCAGTTGGCAAAAGAGCTTGAAAAAATATTATTCTGAGACATGGTGAATGGTCTCATCCCTATTCCACCCACAGCTTCTAATTATAAGGTCTCACTCATGATATCTTGGCTAGATGGACCTCAGAGATGAGTGCCAGCAAAGCAAAGACAAAAGCTTGCAAAGAATTTTTCCAACTATTTTAGTTGGTCTAATAAAAGATATAGGATTTACTCAAAGAACCTTGTCTTCCTATATCCTTAGACCAGCACAGCTACAACCTATACCCCTGAAGGAAAGCAAGGATGCATTTTTGATATGCGCATGTGTTGGGATGTCTTGTCATAAGATGTCACAGACATTCAAAGTGACATAGCATTTTATCTCCTTCTCCCTTGGAGCTAAAGCACAAAATGCCCTGGTTACCAATCTGTTGCTTTATGTAGAAAATTATGCAGTCCCCCTAAGAAAAATACAAAGCAGCTCCCCAAAGTGGGAGAGGTTTTCCTGGAGAGTGCTATTTGGAAAGAAGGCCATATGCTAGTATAATCAGAAACAAAGAGACGTCCCTATTTTTCTTTCTGATTAGCGGCACGATTTTATTATAGGTCTCCAGGAAGCTGTCTCTTGAGCTGCCTTCTCAAACACATAGCAACAAAGCCACACAGCCTGTCACAGGAATGACCTTCCTGATGAGACACACTTCAAAGCATTCACCAAGCTATCAGGGCTGATACCTGAACTCTTATACCTAAATGTCCAGCAACATTAGCACAATGGTCTAACTACTACCCTGCTGACTATGACAAAAATTGTTTCTCAGCCACAAGCTGACTTTTGTCATTGAGAAGAAATCTTAACCTCAAATGTGTAGCATTTGCCTGCTAGGTAGAGTAACCATTTGTATAAGGAGTGAAATGTGGTTGTTGACCTAGGGAAAACCCATCTGGCATGTAGCTGGGTATTTGTTATATAGGTGGGGAAGAAGGAACCAGGACTCATGTAGGGGATCAACGTTACATGAACCTGAATATAACTTTGAACTATAGTTCTCTGTCTTTCCTTAAGAGAGGGGCCTGCTTTAAGAGACAAAATTGGAACTAATTCCAATGAGACCATTGCACTGATATATAGAGGTACAACTCTACCCCTTCCCAGAACTTTGGGAATTTTTGACAGCCAAACATTGCAACTAGGCTGTGATCTGAAATTTCCATGAATACCTTTACTCCATTGCATTGACAACTCTGCTTGTGCTGTAGACTAAGCCATGGCTCAGGAGACCACAGAGACCCTCTATTATACATTTACAAGGAAAGGAAAGTACAGTAAGTAATAAATATAAATAACTCAAGCTAATTCACAGAGGCAATAGTTTGACTGAAAGGGAACTTTAATGGCAACTGGAGACAGGTCAACTGTTTGCATCCAGCCTGGGGTAGTTTATGCACTCAGTGACACAAAAATAAATCCTAAAACCGTGTTCAGGTCCCCACCTGTGTCTGCTCTGGAGATTATAGTAAGTTTCTTACAGCTGCAGCTAGAGACCTTTAGCTTAGGGTAAGCAGCCCATTGTTTTAATTCAGGAACTTTCTAAATCAGTGGTTTTCAACCTTGTTTCATTTGTGGAACTCTAAAACATTTTGAATGGAGGTATAGACCCCTTTGGAAATTTTGAATGGAGGTGAAAGCCACTTTGAATTGTAACTGTGGGTATTCACATACTTCTGATTGATCATAGTCATTTTTTGTGGACTCCATAGACATAGTCTGCCAACCTCAAGGGTCTGTGGACCACAGGTTGCAAACCACTGCCTTAGTTCAATCACTGGTGTATTGTCAACATAGTGTCCAGTTTCTTATGGACAGAAGCCACAAGAAATAGTATCAGAGAAACTACTTCACAGTTATCATGTCTCGACATAGGTTTCCAAGTCCCCGTGCTTTATTGGCTTCCTAAGTGTAGGCTCAAATGTCAGCACCAACCTCCAACTCAAATTGAAATTAAATGCCTTTTGGTTGAATTCAGTAGGAATTGATTAGGTCCTTTTTTGAGGGAAAACCATACATCAAATTGTTTTTAAACCTCTTGATCATGTACTCTGCAATCTAGGATCCAAAACTGCAGCAAAACTGTATAAGCATATGTGCCTGAATGTGTTTTTATGTGTATGTTTCTCTTTCACTGTATTTCTACTTAATTTCTTTCATTAGGGTCTTCAGACACTAAGGAAGAGGGACTGGAGGCTCAGATTAACAGACTAGCTGAGCTGATTGGAAGACTGGAGAGTAAGGTAATGTGGTTTTTTTAATGATTTTTGTTAGTAGAAAGGTTAAGTTTAATCATTCTTCATTTTGAGACAAAGGGTTGCCATCCATTTAAAAATTGTGACATAATATTAGTTTCCTTGCCTCGTGTCATTAGCAACACCATGTGGCAACTAGGGAATCATTTTTTTTCATTTACTGTGGCCTTTTCTGCACTGTTCCATCACCAAAACTTTCCACCATCAAAATTTTCTTCCTTCCCATTCTTGCTGGTGGAGTTACACCAACTCTTCTGAAGAAAAGCAGTCATCTGCTGTCATCCATCATCTGGCTGAAGGCCAGGTAAATGATCCCACACCTTCTCCTGGATCTTGTGGTCCCTTCGGCAGCTGATGCTTTCCCAGTGTGCATTTTGTGCTCTGCCAGTACAGTTGCTACTGTGGAGCCACCAGAAGTGCATAGAAGAGCATATGCATTGGCAGGATGGCAGTGGCAGCTGCTTTCTACCTCCAGAACATGTACCAGCAGAACTAGGTAAGTACAAACCAGGCCAATGTCTTTGCTTGTTTGGGGGAAATGAAAATAAGTCACTGTTGTCTTTTGGGTTGTGTGTACTGCTACATCATAGCAACATTTGGATTGCACTGGGACCTCTAGATCCACAAAAAGGCTCTATGGGCCCATGCAGCAGGGATGAACAAGGGTAGATGACCAAGTTCTCCAAACCAGCCATGCCTCCTTCTGCCATTACAATGCTGCAGTATTAAGGTTCCTTGCAATGGCACCTTTCCCTTCTGCCCCTGCACAGAAACTACTGTAGTTCTGCTGCCAGAGAACTCTGCTTGCTTAAGTGAAGGCTTTAGATTTGCCTCATCCAGGCCTACTCCTTCAAGCAGGCACCACTGCATTTATTCATTTCCATATACTATTCTGGATTGTACACCCTCACAGCAATAAGCATTTGTAGGATCAGGTCTTTGTAAACTTTAAACCCATGTCACTTAAATGTACTATACAAGATGTCGACACTTCTGACTCAGTAGTCTCCTGAATAGATGTGAACTCCAACTAAACTGTACTTAAAACAGATCTAAGATCATTTCTAAGGACAATCTTCCAGCATCCCTTATCAATTATTGTGTCTCTGTGTGCCACTGTCATTATAATTAGCAATGCTTCTAAATGAAATCAGATATTAGCCCTGTTTCTGGCATTCAGGCCCCAGAAAACTAGTGATTGACTGGTGTATTTTAAAGCAGTTTTGATTACGGCAGAAGATTGGCTTATTTAAACCATATTCTTTTGTCAGCTTGTACTCAATTTGCCTTCAGGATTTTTGAGCTACTATTATCATTTGACATTTTGTTAGGTGTTTTGATCCAGTATAGTAGCTCTGCCATCAACACTTTTGTACATGCTAAACCAAACAGGTCAGTTTGATTTTTGAGTCAAAACAGGGTAACCCGTTTATCAGTGTTTCTCTGAAGCATCTTGAATTGTGTGTGCCTGTACCCAATGCAAATCCAGTACAGAAACAACGCATCAGAACATCCTTTCAGCCTAACTTTGAGAACATCATGCCTTCAGTAGAGGTCCTCACTTATTTCTGTGTCACACCTTACATTGCTATGAATCAGGTTAGGAAGTTTGCAAAATGTTCTGTTGAATGTCCTAAATGAAAGCTACCATTCAAATAACATAATCACAACTCTTAGGAATAAAAAGTGCCATTCATACCAGAAGGACATTTCCTACCACAAGATGAGGCCGAAATAAAAAAAACAAACCACCTCTCTATTTGTTATATGAGCAGATTTGCTGTGGTTTGTTGAGAAGAAAACAAACATAAAGCTCCGCAATGCTTTTCTTAGTAACTTTTCCGGGAAGAGCTAAACTTTACATGCTAGGAAATTCAAACAAATCTCTCATCTGATTTGGGGTTTTTGGACCTTTGTTGATAACCCCAGGCTCTAACACAGAGTTTGACTTTCTGTCTCTTCTGCCCTACTGATAAACTTATGTGGTTTTTTTCTTTTTTTAATCAGCACCAGGAATCGGTGCTTGATGCTTTTCAACCTCTCTTGTTTCTGCTGGTACAGTTTTGCCTCGCAGACTATAGCTATTTCTCAAAGGTTGGTTGGCAACTTAGCCCCTGTGTCTTTAGAAATTCTAGGCATGCATGCCTCTAGTCCTCTCTTGCTCTAATTGCCTATACATCTCTATGATGAGGGAGTCTTAAGAGGAAATCGGCTTTTAAGAAATCTGTCTGCCTCTTCAGCATTGACTGGTTTTCCAGGGACACTAAACTCCAGAACACAGTTAGCCTCCTTGTATCTCCTGTGTGATGGCTTTGCACCTCCTCATAAATTACATTTTTTTTTAAAGTGTGCTGAAAATTACAGAGCAAAGGTAAGCATTACAAACTTAAAAACTGAGAAGGATTTGACCTCCAACCCTAGGGGAAACAACATAGGAAAATTCCAAGGTAGCCCCAAAAGTTCCCCTTTCACATTCAAACGTGAGAGAAAAGATAAAATATGAAACACAGACCTAAGGGGAGAGAGAGAAAAATGTTTGCTTATCTGTCTTCTGAAGTAGCCAAGGGGATTTGGATTTGAATAGTTTAAATTGAGAGAGGCCCAGAACCCTTTATTGCATAGTCCCTGTACTGTTGTATGCTCCTG